GTTTCTTTAATAAATTATTGAGATATTAGCAAATTTTTGATGCACGAATTTTTATTTAAGTTTGTGTAAAGGATTTACGGAAGAGTTTTTCATACCAAGTGATTGATTTTTTTGATTTTTGCTATAATTATTTAGAGTATTAAAATACAAATTTCATAATATGCATTTTTAGAAGTCCATGACTTGAAACTTTTAATAATCCTTACTACCAAATCTTTCACTTCCTCAGCCGATAAACGCCAGTTGAAATAACGAACATTACTATTTGATAAAATGATCATTTAAATATATCTTTTAACTATATAAATTAACAGTTAATTATTAAAATAAATCTTACCTAATTTCACCATTAAACCCTTCATGAATGAAAGCTTTGCCGATATGCAGTGGACCATCATTAAAGATAACCCTTTGCTTTTTAACATCCTGAATACTGTAGAATCCAAGCCATTCACCATTTATGTAGACATCTAACCTTTTTTCCGAATCGGAAAGTGTATAAGCTATATGGTACCATTTTTGTAAAGAAAGTTCATCCCCGAGTCCTGGCATTCCTGAATCATTACTATAGTTGCCTGAGAAACGAGCATATAATTTGGGATTGTATGGTGTCAACCAGAGCCCAGGAGTGCGGGTTGAATTGGAAGTACCTAAATATTTGTGTATTTCAGAAGATGTCAGCATAATATTGTTTTAGACAAAAGATATATCTGGTCCCACCTTTGTGAAAAATAGTAGCCCAGTCAGAAGGTTGACTTTCAAGTTTCAACCGCAATGTTATTGACAGCTCATCTTTCACTACAGGTAAATCTGTATGACTAAAGACTTTTTGATCTCGAGTTCTGAAAGTAATAGGGTTTGAAATAAGCTCAACCCACTCTCGTCCTATTATTCTTTGCATTTTCTAAAAAGATTTAAATATTTTTATTTAATAATGTCACATTGTCATATACAATAGAATAATTCCTTTACCTTTAGGAAAAATCTTATCCTTAAAATTCTATGAATTGTGCGAATTCTGCGAATTCAGTCTTTTTATAAATTCAGTGAATTCAACTTTTATGAATTCTACGAATTTAAACCCATAAATCTAAATAGAATTCTTATTCAATTTAACTTATGTAAATTGGCTTAAGATAGTCATTGAGATCTTTAACTTAAATTCATTACTGTTAATATATTTGTAAATTTGTATTGTACAGGAAACCTAAAAACAATGATTTTTTATATGCAGAGTT